TCTGTCCACCAAGTCATCCCTAATCTCCTTCACAGTGGGTGCTTGATGGAGGCTACACCAGCAATTCCCTAACACACTGCACTTGTCCTGAGTAGGACATTCCAGCTCTGGACATGCTGGTCCTTGATTCCTCCTACCCAGGGTACTCTGTTGCAGAGGGTTTCCTGGGTTCCATAAACTTCTGTCTCTGCTGGCTTTTTTGCTGATCACATCCAACGTGAGAGAGACATACTTGGAAGCTATGGAGTAGGAGGAGGTGACAGCCAACGTTCTTCTCTGCTCTTTGTCTAGTGAAAGCTGGTTGATTTTTTTGTCTCCTGCCCGCACCACTGGGAAGAGGTGTTTTTTTCATGTCTCTGGCTTAAGAGAAGAATTATCTTCTCGATTTGTTTCTCTCTGGCTGTCTGCAGCAGGTCTCATTTTGTCCATGCTTTTTAAGTACAGTAAAATAAATGGTCTTTCGTGGAGTCCTTCTATTTTAAGCAGACCTGTCTCCCACTGGAACAAGTAGAATTAAAGCCTTAAAAGGATTTGACTTATGTTTTACCAAAAGGAATGAAATTGTCTTCTTGTTAGATCTTAAGGATGTAGGTTAGGAGTGCCCATTAATAGCCACATTTGAGAACAATGATAAAGAAACACACAGGTAGTGAGTGGGGGAAGAATCCTGACACATAGTTACTATCCTCTAAGTAGACCTAGAGTTAATGTTATCAGGCATTATTTTGTGTCTAAAGCCAGGACACTTGAAAGTTAAAACAGCTGTTTTTAATATATGTCAGACCATAAACAAAACCTGGGATTGCCTCGGGCAAATGGGACATAGAAAAGTTATCTGAAGCCAACTCGGCCCTTGGACTTTACATTTATTAACCCAGTAATTTTCCTTTAACCTTTAATCTAAATTTGAGTTACATTTGTATCAACAGACTTCAAGACTGCTGACTAGCACCCAAGGTAAAGGTTCAAACCAAAGGAATGGGTTTCGCAAAGGTAAGATTGCAGGGTTTCATGTGAACTAGTTCCCACCATTGCATGTGGACCTTGCACACTTAAAGGAACCTTATGTGGAATTTCACTTGGTATATGACAAAGATACTGAAGAAAGGAAGAAAGGAAAGGAGGGAGGGAGGAAGGAAGGAAGGAAGGAAGGAAGGAAGGAAGGAAGGAAGGAAGGAGAAGCAACTATAGCCACCAAGAAAAGAGAAATCCCATCCTTGGGCTGAATATAGTTTTTGGTGATTTTTACATACACACATTTACAGGACTTTAATTAAAGGATATTTCATATGATCTAATTTTGAGTTGATCACATCTTCCTGTTTTCCTCTCTGTCCAGCCCATATCTAGGTGTAGCAGTGTAATACTAGTGAGAGTCCTGGCCCTTCGGAATTGCTTTTCTTACGTGCTTTCTTCTCTTCACTTTGTCTACTCTCACATGAGTTCTTATTTATACTACAGATCAAATAAGCTTGTCTTGGTTAGCCCACAAATCCAATTGTCATTTGCAACCATGTCTGTAAGAATGCACATTCTTTGAGGAACGGTGAGAAAGATTTGCATTTAAGAGCACTGGCTGCTCTTCCAGAGGACCCAGGTTCAAATCCCAGCACCCCAGTGTCTGCTCACAACTGTCTGTAACTCCAGTCCCAGGGGATCTGACCCCTCTTCTGGCTTCCACAGGCACTGAATGCACATGGTAAATATACATACATGCAAGCAAAAAAGTAGACACAAATTTAAAAACTTAAAATTAAAGAAAGAATGTACTCTTTAGGGAACAGTAAGGTGGCTATAACAAGCTCACAGGAAAGTTGTTAGTTCCTTAGTTCATACACTCACACCAGCTGCCCAGTTTATGGCAAAACAAAAAGCAACAACTTAAATGGTATTTCCTAAGGCCAGTGGGGTTATTCTCTACTCCAGTGGAAGCTGCTCATAATTCAAAGGCTTGAAGTCTTAGGAATATCTAGAGCTTCTAAAAGTCACATGTGTGATTGTGACTACATTTTTTCATTTACTGAGTCCCAGGGTCACTACATCAATCTCTCTCTCTCTCTCTCTCTCTCTCTCACACACACACACACACACACACACACACACACACACACACACACAAGCACTGCACATACACACATTTATAAAGGGGTGTGTGTGTGTGTGTGTGTGTGTGGTGATTAACTAGAAGCTTAGAACTGATTATTCTGGTCACAAAACTTTTACTTTTTAATTAAATGTTTTCATTTATTTTACATCCAACCACAGCCTTCCCTTACTCCCATTTTCTTCCCCCACTTCCTCTATCCCCAATCCAAGCCTCTTCCATATGTATTCAGAAAGGCCCAGGCCTTCCATGAGTGCCAATAAAGCATGGCGCATCAAGTTGAAGTAGGACTAAGCTCCTTTCCTTGTATTAAGGCTGGGCAAGGCAACCCAGCATTAGGAACAGGTTCCCAAAAGCCAGCCAAAGCATTACAGACAGGCCCAGCTCCCCCTGCCAGGAGTCCCACAAGTAGACCAAGCCACACAACTGCTCTGAGATACTCACCCTCCACCCCCACCCCTGTACCTGTAGCACTGACCACGCCCCTTTGGGCATGGTCATAGGTACGGACGTGACGAGGGTCCTGGACCCCAGCTCTCTCTCTTGCTTCTGGTGAGTCACAGAGGACATCCTGGGTGAATCCTTGTTGGAGCTGGAACTTTTTGGTGGTCACCTGCTTCTTGTTTAAGTGCACTCTACCTGAATAAACTTCACTTAACCAGTACTAAGTCTAGTGAATCTTGATTCCCAAGCAATACACAACCATCACACATATGCAGAGGGTCTAGGTTGGTTCCATGCATGCTCCCTAGCCATTGGTCCATAGTCTGTGAACGCCTGTGAGCGGGTCAGCTGCTTCTGAGGGTTCCTTTGTGATGATCCTGATTCCCTGGCTGGTACAATACAATCCCTCTTCCTTCTCCTCAACAGGATTCCCTGGGCTCAGCCCAGTGCTTGCCTGTGGATCTCTGCACTGTTTCCATCAGTTACTGGACAAAGGCTCTCCAATGACAGGGTAGTTACCAATCTGATTACAGAAGATGGCCAGTTTAGGCTACCTATACACTTTTGCTAGGAGTCTTAGCTGGGGTCATCCTCATAGATTCATGGGAGTTTTCCTAGCATCAGGTTTCTACCTGACCCTATCAAGCCATCTTTTTCATTACCACCCCTCTCCATTCTTCAACCCGATACCTCATGTTTCCCTCCAACCCCCACCCCTCACCCCCCACCTTCCCACCCTTTCTTCCCAGGAGATCTCTTCTATTTCTCTTTCCCAGGGAAATCAATGGGTCCCTTTTTGGGACCTCCTTGTTACTTAGCATCTCTAGGACTGTGGATTATAGCATATTTATCTTTTATTTTACAGCTAATATCCACTTATGAGTACATACCATGCTTGTCTTTCTAGGTTTGGGTTACCTCACTGAGGATGATTTTTTTCTAATTCCTTCTATCTGCCTTTAAAGCTCCTGATGCCATTGTTTTTAACAGCTGGATAATATTCCATTGTGTAATGTACCACATTTTCTTCATCCATTCTTTGGTTGAGGGACATCTAGTTTGTTTAGGCTTCTGGCTATTATGAATAATGCTGCTATGAACATAGCTGAGCAACTGTCCTTGTGGTATGGTTGAGCATCCTCTGGGTATGGTAATCACTGGGTCTTCAGGTAGATTTGGAGTTTATGTCCAAGAGTGGTATAGCTCAGTGTTGAGGTAGAAACCTCAGTTTTATGAGGTCCCATTTACTAATTGTTAATCTCACTGTCTGTGCTATTATCCTTCTTCTACACATTTCCATTTTCTGAATTCTAGTATCATCATATCAATTGTGTGTGTGTGTGTGTGTGTGTGTGTGTGTGTGTGTGTGCAGTTTGTACAACTGCTTGTACAGTGGGTACACATTTGTACTCCCACCAGCGGTAGAGGAATATTCTCTTTGCTCCACATCCTCTCTAGCATAAGCTGCCATTAGTGTTTTTGATCTTAGCAATTCTGACTGATGTAAGATGGAATATCAGAGTAGTTTTGATTTGTATTTCCCTGATGGCTAAAGATGTTGAACAATTCTTTATGTACATCTTGGCCATTTGAGATTCTTCTTTTGAGAATTCCCTGTTTGATCTATATCCATTTTTAATTGGATTGTTTATTTTGTTATCTAGTTCATTGAGTCCTTTATATATTTTGGAGATCAGTCAGATGTGGGATTGGTGAAGATATTTTCCTTTTCCATAGGCTGCTGTTTTGTCTTATTGACAGTGTCCTTTTCAGTTTCATGAGGTCCCATTTATTGTCAATCTCAGTGTCTGTGCTACTGGTGTTCTACATTTTCTCATTTTCTGAGTCTTATTGTCACTTCATCAATAATATATATCATATAAATAATATATTTATACACAAAATACACATATTATATGTATTATATATGATATATTGATTAAAAGGTATGAGGGGGCAGTCTACTAAGCCCTATCTATATCTATTTCTTACAGAACTGATTACTGTGATCATAAAAACAAAACAACAACAAAAAAATCTTTTCCTAGAGGTGAATCTGGTTCCCAGATTCTTCATCCACAAAAGTAAAATGCAAACAAGTAATTTCTTGTACTTATCAGGCATCATTTTGTTCTAAAAGGCAATGTTTTTCTCGTGAATTTGTAAGAGAATTTGTTGTAAGTTCGACATGATGGTCAAAGTGTGCTATGCAGACTCAGTGACATGCATCCTGAATGCTGTGTGGGATTCTTGACTTGATTCACATAATAGTCTAGTGAAAACCACACAAAAAACCCTACCAAATCCATTGTTCCTATGATAAGAAACAGCAAGTTTAATGTGTCTTTAGGAAGACATTCTAGGAGAACTAGAGAACAACATAAACAGATACAATTCTTGAGGGTCAGATAGAAAAGACCATCAGAGATATTATTAGGCACTCCATTTGGTCACTTTCAAGGGAATGATGTTTCCTCAGTCACTCCTGATGGCTCCAGCAGCCTAAATCGTTCATTCAGGGATGGTATAACCCTGAGCATATTGTACATCCTTGCACGCAATCTCAGCCCAGTTGCTGAAGGCAATGGCTTTACTCGGTCAAAGGAAGATGACAGTGACTTCAACATCTTGGAAGCTTCACTCTGAAACACTTTTGTTCGAACAGTGTAGAGAATGAATATTTGCAATCCCTGAAGAGAGAATTAAAGTTTACTACTAGGCAATATTACAGTACAGACTTCCACAGTACAGAATGACGAGATGTTATGTCCCCCTCCCATCGTGGGGAGGTGTAGCTGCTCCACAACTGGAGTGTGCAGCTGCTGTTCATGTCCTTCTCGTGCACACAGGGCTGCACACAGTGGATGCTTAGAAGCCCACAGTCCACGCCCTGCCTTGCCATTACTGCTGTGCATGCGTGTTCTTTCCCCAGTGTTTATGATCTTCAGTTTCTGAAAGTGGGGGGATTGCTGGGGGGCACCTGTTTGCTCTTCTGCTTCCAACATTCTGGGATTCCATTTCCCGGAGATTTAGTAACATAGCTGGAATTTTATATACTTGGTAATCTCTTAACAACACAAAATTAGAACCCTGCTAGTCATTGCTTTTCTGTACTTTACATAGGGAAATGAGATATTCATAAGAAATTAAGCCACAAGAGGCTGGGTAGTGTCTCTACACGTTTTTAAACTGCCATTTACTGAACTTGCTTCAGACACTTCTCATTTTGACAATTCTCACATCAACACTATAAACTAAGGCTAACTATCCCAAGTTTATTAACATGGAAACTGTAATTCAGATGAACTAAACAATTTGCCCAAGATTATACATCCACTATCAATAGAGCTTGGAACTGAATTCAACTTTTTTTTATTATTATTCCAATCTTTCTTCCTTTGCCAATGCACAGTGTTGTCTCTTACTTGTATCTAAAACAGAAAAGTACTACCCAGTATAATATAGCCTCTAAGGAGCCTTACTAATGCTATTTGTAGCTCGTTGATAATACTGAGCCAATGCCCATTCTTTGATTTTAACAATGTGCTGAATTATAGATGATATTGTCACTGGGAAACACTGGATAAAGAAGGTGTGAAAACTGTACTTACTGTCTTTCCTGGATTTGATTGTACATTGTGGCTACAGAAGATACTATTTTTGAACTAGAAAGATGGTTCAGCAGTTAACAGCATTCACTGCTTTTCCAGAGGACCTGGGTTTGATTTCCAAAACCCACATCATGGCTCACAAGCATCTATAATTCCAGTTCCAGGAGATGCAACACCCTCTTCTAGCCTCCATGGACACCAGGCATGTACTTAGTTCCCAGACAAGCATACAGGCAAAACACTCATAAAATAATTTAAAAATCTTTAAAGATATGTTTATTACACATTCAGTGTTCTACATGCATGTAGCAGGCCAGAAGAGGGCACCAGATCTCATTATAGATGGTGGTAAGCCACCATGTGGTTGGTAGGTATTGAACTCAGGAACTTTGGAAAAGCAGCTAGTGCTCTTAATCTCTGAGCCATCTCTCCAGTCTAAAAAAAAAAATTTTTTTGAAGAGGTTATTATTAGTACTAAAGTTTGGTGATGAATACTTGGGAAATCTTCAGTATTTTGAAATTTCAAATCATCTAAAATGCATCTGAAATTGTTGTTTAAAGGGGGTAGAATAACAATGATGAAAGTTAATTAATTTTGCATCATCTCAGACTCTTTCTATAGGCATGTGTGTAAGGATCTAAGTTTTAGCCACGGGACCCACACAATGAAAGGATAGAACTGACTTTTCAAGGTGTCCCCTGACCTCCACACACATATATTCAGTGGCATGCATGCCCCTATACTACTAGTAATAAATGTAATTTTAAATTTACAGAAAAGATAGCTCAAATTCTGGGCCTGAATTCAATCAACACATTTTTAATTGAAATAAAAATTCAATAAACCCACAGAGCACAGAGTTCCAAGTTCAATGAACCCTGAATCATTGCCCATACCAACCAAAGTAAACTCTGTGCAGGGGGTGGGGAGGAAACAATGTGTTCTGCCTTATGAAGAGGAATTATGTGCCAACCTTAAGGAGATATTACACTGTGACCTCTAGGCCAGAAAAGAACACAGAAAGTTTTTGTTCTTCTCGTGAAGTCTGTGAATAATTGATCCCCCTAAAGATAACTAAAGAATGGTCTTCAGGGAGTTTTACAGGGAAGAAAACAGGGTGATACTATTTATGTACCATTCCAAGTGTTCTGCTACTTTCAAACCATCTATACCATACCTGAGTGGTGTTGAAAAGACAGAAAATGTAGCTGAAAACAATCCTGATGTCATCATTATTAATTAGCATAGCGTATGCCAAAATCCAGGTAACTCCAAAAACAACAGCAATAGATAATGTGTTCAGAATCTTCTTGAAGGATGAAACCTTTTTTGTGCTACATGAGAGAAAAAGAAGAAAGGAATCATAGCTTCTTAGGCTGTTGCTTACTGATGTCATTACTACCCATGCACGGTCAGCTGCCTCTATCCTGGGCTCATTTAACAATGTTGTGTCCTACTTATGTCATTCTGATGAAATGTGCTTTAACTATCTTAAAATAGCTTAATGTCTGCTTCAAAGTGCAGGCAAATCATTCATTTAATACTACACAGGGAATTTCAAGAGAATCAACTCTTTTCAGAGAGGAAGTCTGGTTGATTATTACTAAAAAGATCAGCTAGTGAAGAAGTCCTTTCTATAAGGAGTTGGGATACCTGGGAAGTGCTTGTGCCTTGGGTAATGTAAAAATACTGTACTTAGCAGACTGATCCTTCCTCTCATGGGAAGTCTGTACCCCAGAATCTGGCCTTGACTATGTGACTTACTGTGGCCAGAACAGAAGGCAGAGACTGGAAAGCAATCCATCACACTTGGAGTTTGCCTTCTTTGGCCGTTCTTGAGAACCCTGACAGTGTCAGTGAAGGAGCAAGTCTGGCCCCCTCAGGACCAGACTCCCATGTTAGCACACACACAAAACCACCCTGTCCTTCATTTTCAGCAAAAAAAAACTTTCTAGTGCAAAATGAATATGTGCAGGTGTATTTCTGTCCATTCTTTTCATCTTTTACATATGTGCTGAGACATTGGGCTAAATATGCCCAAAGCATATGTCTGCTATCTTTTGAAATTATGACCCTAAATTGGGCCTCCTTATGAATTGGTACCCCCCATGTAGATATGTATAGGTCCCTGGATAAAATCTTCATGTTTCATTTGTTCATAGGAAGTGGAACTTACTCTCCTGCTATTTTTGCTGGTCATACATTTTTTCCCTCTACTCCCCACCCCTTTTGGGTGTTTTTTTTTGGGGGGGTGACACAGGGTTTCTCTGTGAAACAGTTCTAGCTTGTCCTGGAACTCGCCCTGTAGACCAGGCTGGTGTCTTGTTGAATAACAAGAAATATTAGAGATAACGATAAGAACACTTCCTGGGACTATAAAAGTCACAATAAAGAGGCTTGCAGTTGTGGGTAGGACCTGAAGAGCCAGGAAATGTGGTCTCACTGTCACTAAATGTCCCACAATTTTATAAGAGAGAATGCATTTGTAAGTGAAATATCCAAATTTTGTATACTTGCAACGGATTTTGAAGAGTTTGAAGCTGCGGTTTAACTCAAGCCCAGCAGGCAGTAATAATTTCCTGTTTGAAAATGTGGGTTCCAGCATCTCCCTCTTTATAGCCTCATTTCTTCAAGTATTCAAATTTTGTTTCCTGAATTTTGGGAATTTTTGACGACAATGGGGGTTTAACATTTGCTTGGGCCCATGTAACACAAAGGTGAAGTATACAATGCTGTATACCATATTGGACCACTGAGGGTAGCAGAGATGGTGAGCAGGTCTAGTTTCTCAGTTAAAGTTCATTGGGAAATCACTCCTGAATACCATATGACCATGGCTTGTGCAGACCTTGCAAACTATTGCAGGGCTTTGGGGCGTGGTGAGGTGTGTATTACATCTACAGTAGTCTATGCTGGGTTGCACTCAGGTGTGTGTTACATCTATTGTGGTCTTTGCTGGGGTGCAGTCAGGTGTGTGTTACATCTACAGTGGTCTTTGCTGGGGTGCAGTCAGGTTTGTGTTACATCTATTGTGGTCTTTGCTGGGGGCAGCAGGGGGACACACATTGGTGCGGGGGCAGCAGGGGGACACACATGGTGCGGGGGAGCAGGGGGGCACACAGAGCAGCGGGGCACCAGGGGGCACATGGGTCTTTGGGGTGCAGCAGGGGGCACACAGAGCGGGGGCAGTCAGGTTTGTGTTATATGTGGTTTGCGGGGTGCAGAGGTGTGTGTCATATTGGTTTTTGCTGGGGTGCAGTCAGGTGTGTGTTACATCTACATTGGTTTTTGCTGGGGTGCAGTCAGGTGTGTGTTACATCTACAGTAGTCTATGCTGGGTTGCACTCAGGTGTGTGTTACATCTATTGTGGTCTTTGCTGGGGTGCAGTCAGGTGTGTGTTACATCTACATTGGTTTTTGCTGGCAGCTTCCCACTCCCGGATGCTCACCTCGTCAGGTTCTGGTTGTTCTTCCACAGCACTTTGACCGTGATTGTGATGAATATAGCAATATTGGTGATGAGGATAATGGTTACAGGGACGATGAACGACCATAAAAATGGGCTTTTCACAAAATTATCGCTTCTTGGAATGGCCAGCCAGCAGCTGTTGAGGAAAACAAATGATTTCATCAGACCTGTGGAAATTGCTACCTGGGGGATGCTTCTGATGTGCTAACTGCCCCTACCTTGGGATGCCAGCCTTCAAGCCTGGAGAACAGGTGCTCCTGAGCAATAGCAATCTCCAGGATGCCTAGGAAGAACCTCAAGCACACACACCTGCTCCTCCAGCCAACTCCTGTCCCTCAGCCCACCACTGCCTCCTCCCACCTGATTCAGTCACTCTGCAAGCATGGATTCATAGGGAGAAGACTGTCTGGAGTAACACTGCTGTGGTGCAGTGGTGTGTGGTGCTGCTATGTCCTGAAAGACCAAGGTTTGAGGACCTGCCTCTTAATAGCGTTAGGAGAAGGGACTCCCCTCCTGATGTACAGTGCTAACAGTCCCCACCCTTGAGTCTGGACCTTGAATATTTAAGCTGTATAAGATCCAGGCTTGCTCAGTGATGCTGCCTTCTACTGATTGGTCTTCCTCAGTATGTAATTCTTGGAGCCATGGGTCAACTGTCAAAGGGCCTCAGGGGCACCAAAGAAGTCACTCCCCAGTTGCTGTGATCCGTCTTGTGTCCCTCTGTCCTTCCCACCTCACCCCATTTTGTTGTGGTGTTGTATCTGTGTCCTGTTGCCATTTCTGTTAAACAATAGTGTTTCTATGTATCCCTCAAAAACAACAACAACAAAAAAAATACTAATTCCTTTTGCTAGTAACATCATTGGCATTCATGGAACTGAAGTCCTTGCTAATAATATCTTGTCATCTTTCACATCTGGCGTCACTTTTAATCATTTAACCAATTAGAAAAGTCACATCTATCACAATTTCCTATGAATCAACATGGGCCAGTAGACAGTAAATGCACTAGTAATTACTGTTACTGTTGCTGCTTTCATTGTAGAGAGATGAAACCCAGGTCGTGGGGCATGCTAGGTAATTGCTAACTACCGAGATGTGATTTGAATCAGACGGGCCTTGCCCCCTCCTCAGAAGCTCAGGTACTGACCACGTGGCTTCTAGTTAGTGGCTCTGTTTAAGGAGGCTATGGAACCTTTAGAAGGCTGAGCCTTGAGAGGAAGTGCATCACTGGCTTTGAGGTTTTGTAGCCTGGCTTCACTCCTGTTCTCTCCCTACCTCCTGTATGAAGATGAGATGCCATAGCTCTGCTCTGTGACTTCCAGGTGGCCTCATGTTCCTGCTGCCATGGCTCCTCAGCCAGAATGGATTGTTCCCCATGCAACATAAAGCCAAATGAACCTTTCTTCCCTAAGCTGCTTTCTGTAAAGGTATTCTATCACAGTAACAGAAAAGTAACTAATACGTGCACTTCTAAGCCCACAGTCTTGAGTTTAGATGTTACTCCCGTCATGTATGAGGTATATAACTTTAGGCAAGCTATTACTTTTATTATACTTTTGGATATGTAGCTTATCTCTATAAACATTAGCAAATGCACATTTTTTTCCTTCATATTTTTAAACAAATGACGACTGTTGCTGGATTTTCTTGTCCCGCCAGGTCCTGCCACCCTTCTCAGCCCCAAATAAATACATGAAGACATATTAATTTATAAACTGTTGGCCAATGGCTAGGGCTTCTTATTGGCTAGCTCTGTCTTAATTATTAACCCGTAACTACGAATCTATGTATTTCAACATGACCTTATCTTACCAGAGAATGCCTGGGGTGTACTATTCTTCTGGTACCTCTATGGTGTTTCTTCTCCAGGGCTCTCCCTGCCTTCCTTTCCCAAAATTCTCCTCGTCTCCTAGTCCTGCCTATCTTCCTGCCTCTACTATTGGCCAAACAGTGTTTTATTCATCAACCAATAAGAGAAACATATACACAGAAGAAGATTCCCCCATCAGACAACATTCAATAAATGCTTCTGGAATTCAGCATATCTTGGAGATCATTTGAGAATATGAAAAGAAACGTAATTAATAAATTTAGCATTAAAATTACAACTTTGCTATTCTATAAGTTAAAGTTTTCTACTGCTAGTTATTGGTGTGTGTGAGTGTGTGTGTGTGTGTGTGTGTGTGTGCATACACTTGTATGTATAGGTACATGCCTATGGAGGCCAGAGAATAACCATGTTACCAAATCAGCTAGGCTGACCCATGATCCTTAGGGATCTGCCTGTCTCGGCTGCCCAGGCTTAGAGATTACAAGTATGTCTGTCTTTTTACCTAGAGGCTTGGGAACTACACTCAGGTCCTCACACTTACAGAGCAAACATTTTCCAACTGAGATGCCTCCCCAGCCCCTTGACAGACAGTTAAAAATGTTAATACTTTAAAAAGAGCTTTCAAACGTTATTTTGCTCCATTGTATTCTTTTGTTTTGAAGGTTGTCTGCTGCTATTTTTGTTTTGCTGAAGGAATTTGGGGTGGGTTTTGTTTGTTTCTTATCAAAGTTGAAAATAATATGACTACCTCATAATATTGTTGAAACAGTTAATTTATTCCTTCAAAACATTTAGAGAACATGTTTCAGATGGTATTTTACACAGCAAAGCATTATCTGTAAAGAGAACTCTATTATCTAGTGAGTTGATAATCTAGTTTAGAGATGCAGATAAAACAAAAATTAGATTGATAATATGTCAGATAGTGATGAGCATAGGAGATAAAAATAATGTGAGCAGTGAGAATCTAGATATGTATGTATGTATGTACACACACACACACACACACACACACGGGGAAGATTTCATTTTAATAGAGTGGTTGGGGGGAAAGTCTCATAGAAAAACAATACTTGTGCAAAGACCCAAAGCTGATGAGGAGGGAGGGTGTTCTAAGTAGAGGGTGCATCGCGTCGGAAGGCCCTAAGGTGACAGCTTTAGAAACAGAGGCTACTGTGGCTCAGAAGACTGGAGTAAGTGCATGAGGTCAATGGAACGATACAAACAACGCTGAGGCTTTGTGGGCAATTGCTTGCATCCTGGGTGAGGTAGTGAGACATGAAATGATCTGCTTTAGGTTAAAAAGTATTACTCCAGATGCAGTGATGAGAGTAGGACTTGAGCAAAAGTAAGAAACCTGTATTGTGAGGGGCGTGCAATAGGAGAAATAGCAAGAAACAGTCTGGTTGAAGGTTCTTTAAAAGTAAGGAGAAAGCCCATAATGACAGTACACACTTGCACACTCAGGACTTAGGGGACAGAAGCAGAAAGACCAGGAGGGCAAGAGCATCCTTGGCTCCATCAGAAGTTCAAGGCTAGTGGACCCCACCTCGACAAAGCAAGGAGAAATCATTGAATGACAGTTTGACTGTTGAGTGGAAGGCAATGTTCTGAGCAGTTATTAGCGGGAAGACAAGGAGGTGTTAGAAGATGGAACAGCAGGCCATTGAAAAAATAACCAAGGACTGGAGAGATAGCGTAGGAGTTTGAAGGCTGGACTTAGAGATGTCTGAGGTTTGGTTCTCAGCCACTGCCCTATACAATCTCCATAACTCCAGCCAGCAATCCAAAGCATTATTGTGGCCTCTACAAGTATCTGCACACATGATAATGCCTTGGTGTCCAAAATACTCTATTTGGCTTGTACCTGTGCATGTCTTGTGCATGCTCTAACTAAATCAGTTTTCTCCAATGGAGTCTCAGTGGGTATACCAACCACATTCCCCAAGCAGTCCCATGTCCAGGAGTAGTTGGTCAACAAAAACAGATTCGGTGGTATTTTTAGGGTTTTTTGTTTGGTTTTGATTTTTTTCTTGTTTGTTTTGTTTCTCTTATTGGCCATTTGCTTGTTTGCTTTGGTTTTCAGTTTCTGTGGGTTTTGTCTTGTTTGGTTAGTTTTGTGTGTGTGTGTGGGGGGTTCATGTTTCTTGTTTATTTTGTTTGTTTTATTTCTTACTTTTAGAGAGAGACATAGACAGAGGCAGAGAGAACACATAGTTGGGTGGGTTGGCAGGAATGTTCGGAGGGATTGGAATAGGGGAAAACATAATCAAAAAATATTGCAGGGAATTTTTTCAGCAATATATATATATATATATATATATATATATATATATATATATATATATATATCCCCAGAAGCCTAGTACACATTTGGCTTTCAATTCCTATTCATTGTCTTTCATCTGAAGGTACAACATTATGGTATATGACAAAGAATTTTTAAATTGCTTTGCTTTGGAACATTATCATGCAAATTGTTGGAAGTCATATTTCTAATCTCAATGACTTGTGATAAAACTGAGATGATATTCCAGTCTATAATGAACTAATAAACAAGCAGGGATATTCACTTTTAAAAGACATGATGAGGGTGTGCAAAGATTATCTTAAAGATGTCTAGCATCCCTTTCATCTGTGGAGGGAGGATAACTGTTATGGTTTAAATATAAAGCAACCCTGCAGATGCTCAAAGGTTCAAGTTGTGAGAAGCATCATTTGCTCTCTCTCTCTCTCTCTCTCTCTCTCTCTCTCTCTCTCTCTCTCTCTGTGTGTGTGTGTGTGTGTGTGTGTGTGTTCATTTATATGAATGTTTGTAAGCATCTTTAGTGGTCCAAGGATAGGAAGATCAAGAGACATGCACTCAGATATCAGCATCTATCAGAAAAATATGTACCAGAGGGGGAAACTCTACATCTCTCTTTATCCTTTGCTTTAGTTCAAGAAGGACTGTGGCACTTTTATGCTCACAGAACTCCTTATGCTTGTTATTCTGAATCAAATGACTCATACTTCCAGCTGTATATTTCTGAGGAAGAGGAAGAGAATGGTCCTTGTGGGGCTAACTTCTACAGGTATGGGATAGAATTCTAGGAAAGAGGGTCTCAGGATGGAGGCTGATGAAAATAAAGGCATGGAGTCTATTGAACATCCTTCCCTGGACTTCAGTTGTGTTAAATGCTTTGGTTGTTTTTCCATGTATATGGAAAGATCCATATTATCCTCTACAGCATAGACTGGAAAAACTCACCACCAGTATAAGTTCCCATGGTTAATGCCAACCCTTTCCTTATCAGAGAGTGATGCAGCCTGTCTGATGACAGAGTAGAAAACTGAGGCCGTGCATTTAGAGGACTTCTAAGGTCAAACAGTGGATGCTTCCTTTTCAGGAATTATCATAGGGAATTTCTGTGTGATCCTATCTAAATTATGGTGTGTTTCTTTGAGAACTTAAAATACCCATTACAACATATGACATTTATAAAGTGAATGTCAAAGACATTTAAAGAGATAAGACTTACATTTCCTCTTGCCGATAGTCTAACTCCCACAATGACTTGTTCCCACTCTGGGCATAAATAACCCCCACCGTTACACCTACAACTATAGCTGGAACTCCTAAGAGACAAGGAGAGGCAAGGGGTTAATAGTTTGCCCAAGATGGGCATTAATTATAAAACACTTCAAGTAAATTATACATCTGACCTCTTTAGTTCTGTGCTTTTTCCTCCTTGGACAATATACCGACCAATGAGCAGAGGTAGATTAAAAGTAGACAGAATTTTTCTCTGTTCTCTTTTTATCTTTAGTGTTGTCTCCATGTACCGATCCTATCTGATTTTTCATTTCTTTGTATCTCCGATCACAATGTCCATCACCAAAAGTCTGAATTCCTCTATTACTTGAATGATTTAGAGTTTCACTGAGATAATTCTTCATTTTGTCTTTACTGGTACACAATATATCCTTAAGAATTCTTTCTTAACAAGTCACTCAAATTACTTTCTGTGAAACACTCCCATTAAAGCACCCAGGATATTAACAGCATATGTTCTAAGTCTAGCACAAACTAATAGAGGGATGTTTTAAAAAATTAACCTCTTTAATTTAGCTTATACTATGTCCAGTACAGCTGTCTTGAGCTCTTACTAGAGAACAAGCTACTAGAAAGAAACAGTATATAGTGATGGTTCTGTTCTCTTTTCCCCTGCCTTAAATTGTTAGCCCTCTAAGAGGTGTTTGTTTACATTAAACAATCGCAACAAAGTGAGATGTCTGAACAAGAGTTGTTGCAAACACTTACCCCATCCAACTAATGAGATGACAAGGATGAAATGAGGAGGGAGGGGCTTCATGGTTCTGATCAGAAGAAAGTAGAGCTGAGTAGCACTGAGTCCATTCCAGGTGAATGTCACCAAGAGAAAATAGTGGAGTAATGCAGCAATGGCCGTGCATGAGGGATTCGGGTTGTCAGTGGTGTCTCGCACAGGGATTTCATTGGTATCAGGATTAGCATTGATGCCACTATCACTTATCTTTAAGTTCTTATTGGAGTTTTCAATTCCAAACACAAAGAGAAGGTTAAAAATCAACATTGATGTACACAAACTGACCAACACCCAGGTTACTGAGGTTTTTCTGATTTTCCTAAAAATAAAAAAAAAAAAAAGGAAATGTGAAAAACTAGGTGCTAGGTTAAGCAAATCAACTGCAGGGGGAAATAATCATCAGGGCTGAAAAGATGTCTCAGTTGCAGAGAATCCAGGTTCAGTTCCCAGTAGTCAGTGGTGTTTTACAGCTCTGTAACTTCAGTTCCAGCGAAATCTGATGCCCTCTTAAGGCCTCTGAATGCATGTAGTGCACTTAAATCCACGAAGGCAAAACACTCATACACCCTCCCCCAAAACAAAATAACCAAAAAAAGTTAAAAATCCTCAGAGAAACTATGAAGGAATAAATAAACCCAGTTCATGGCCTGGTGGGCCTGGTGGGCCTGGTGGGCCTGCTGGTAAACCTTCATTCTTTCACACTAGAAAAAGAACTTCTCCAAAGGCATGATGAATTCAGCAGCCAGGCTCCGATTAAGAAGAAAAGATAGTCTCTGAAGACAGTGGCCAGTGAGCCCTACCCCCTAGTATCTGTGCCCTTTATTGTCCTCTTCCAGGCATGTCCTTGCCTTGATTTAGCTAACAGAATGTAACTGAAGGCTGGTAGCCAAGACTGACTTACCCATTGGGTACAACTTCCATGATCCTTAGCAAAGTTCAACTAGAAGAACAAAAATGGAAGTCTAGGTCTAAAGATGTTAATAAAGTCATTAAGCTTTCTCATTTTAAAGTTTCTTTTAATTTCATTTATTTTGTTTGTATTTATTCAGTTATTGGTTTGTTTGTTATTTTTTAGGGAGGAAAGTCCCACAAAGTCAAGGTTACCTTGGGTCCCAGCATGGGTCATACAAGAGTCCCAGCAAGGCCTCCTTGGTAGCTTTCTTGTTATGTTCCTTGGAGTTCTCACCCACTCTGGGGAAACTCCAGCTACCCTGCTAAAGAAACCACCCAGAAATGCTCTGGGCCTATACATAGAGAAAGATCCAGTTGTTCTGATACCCTAAAGCAATGGTTCTCGACCTGTGGATCCGTGACCACTTAGAGGTCAGATATCCTGCATATCAGATATTTAAATTATGATTAATAACAGCATCAAAATTATAGTTATGAGGTAGCAACAAACGGATTTTATGGCTAGGATCAACACAACACAAGAAAATGTATTAAAGAGTCACAGCATTGAGAAGATTGGGAGCCCCCTTTGAAAAGCAACCTCCAGAGCCCTTATCCCAGCTACTGTCTGAAGACCATCGCCTGGGGAGCTTAGCTAGACTACATGAGTTCCAGTAAGCCCTGAACTCATGAGAGGTAATAAACTGACATCATTGAGCTTGGCATCTACAAAAATATACAAAGGCTGAAGAGGCCTACATGGCATTTTCTGCCTCAAAACAGAATGTTACAAATTACTAGATGAACCTGCATTTGAACATAGAAAAAGTCTTGTGTTTGTAGCCAGCGTTTATTATATAAAAACATATTTAAATTTTAACTTGATGCTAAATATACTCTTAAAAGTTAAAAATACAATATACATTTAAAAGAAAGTGCTAGGCTAGTTTTCTTATGTTTCATTTAAAGAGAAATTCTCCCATAAACATAAAATTAGGCAATGTCTTAAATTTGTTTTACATTGCTACTGGAACATTTTTTTTTTTGTTTTTTGTTTTTTGAGTAGACTGATAATCAGTGCTCTTTTGACATATATAGAACAAAGTCACATATATTTTCTGTAAGTTAGAATTCTCTTTCCACGCAGTACTTCTGAAAGACCAGAGTTCCAGAGTCATTCCTTGGGAAATTCTTGCTGATTGCTAAATGGTCAAGATATTCTGAATTGCCCTTTTTATGCAAAATCTGCTCAGAGTTCCAACATTCTAAGATGTAATTTCTAGGTACAGAAATTGCTCTTCAAAATGGTTTCTCTGCCCAATTCTCAATTTTTATTTGCCTAACATTTTCTCTCTAAAAGAAAAAGGGTTTGTTCTGGTTTTATCTATAGGCTGGCTATGTATAGCAGCAACTTTTAAAAGGCAGTATGATTATGTGTGTGTGCCTGTCTATCTGTGTGTGCCTGTCTGTCTGTATGTGCATGTGTATGATGTTCTGTATGGCATGGGAGAGGTATGTAGTGTATGGATATGCTATGCTATGCCGAGGATATGCATGCTCTGGCACATGTATGTTGTTCCATACTGGCCCACATATATGTTAGCAAGAAGAAAGATGTTCTTTAATGACATTGATCTCAAATGCAAGGCATGATATTCTCTCTACCACATATGTAAGGTTTTCCTTATTCTTTAGATCTCTAGTTATAGCTGGGCATTGGTGGCACACACCTTTCATCCCAGCACTTGGGAGGCAGAGGCAGAGGTGGATCTCTGTGAGTTTCAGGCCAGCTAGGTCTACAGAGCTAGTTCCTGGACAGGTTCCAAAACAATACATAGAAACCCTGTCTCAATAATAATAATAATAAAGTTTTAAAAATCTCTAGTTATAACCCTGTTCCTTCTCCAGTGGGATATAGCAGTCCTGTGGATTCTATGGCATATAGTCCTGTACCAATAAAGACTATTCATTACCATCTAATTCTTTCTAGACTTTGTAGACTATAGATATTCCTATTAGTTGTTAGGTAAATAGGAATTGGGACTTGGACAGAGGAGTAATTTCAAAGAGCAAGTTCTGTACCTAGAAATTACATAATTACAAATTATGTCGAATGAGATCCTTTCTAGTTTAGAAAAACTAAATTCTGAAATGATTAACCTGGTACATTACAATCAGGATAGCAGTCTCTCCCATGAAAAGCACCCTTCCCCTCTTACCTGGTAACAATCTGGAATATGATAGTTAGAGCCAGGCCAGCAATGGACAGGGCACAGCCAATGTTAGACAGTATGTCAAGGGATTCTGGGTACTGGTAATCCTTTTTGAAACTCTGAAAAAGTAATTTAACATAAATTTTTAAATAAACTGGCCCAAGAATTTAAAAGATATTAATGTAAGTCAGTATTGTAGAATTACATTGGTTAAAATAACCAGCTAGATGCCAAATATACCTTCCCTTTTTATAAAGCCCCCTATGCAGGGAAACTTGACCATTGACAGGCTTTAGGAAGGGAGAGTGGACCTATAGGAAAAACATAAACAATTTAAGAGCTAGTTCTTTTCCACTTAACAGCAAGAACAGCGCCTTGGACAGCTTCAATGAAAAAGGTTTCAGAAATCAAAGTGGCCTATGGTCAGGTATGTATTAAACGGCTCCTCTCCACATGGCCCTCAATCTTAGTTCATCCACTGGGATGCATCATCTTCTCTTTCACATGTTTGCGCCCTTTCCATATTAAAAACACAGAGCTAACCTAAGTTTATCTTTTTCTATCCAAAGACCACATTGCAAACAACAATGTCAAACCGTTTCTTTCTGTCTAGCATGTTCCTTTTCCAGACCTATCACTTCATTCATTCCCTGCATTCCCCATTTTATCTGACCTTATGATCTATGTAAATTATACCTCATATATAAATTGCACATTCATACCATCAGTACTGCGAAATTGGTCGTGTGATTGCAGCGGCAACCGAGGAACCCTGCAGAGTTCCCATCTTTTTGGCAACCTTGTGTGTCCCAGTCGTTCGTTGAAAAATTCCAGTAGACACAGGCATAGGTGTGAAGCTGGAATTCTCTTCTGTCATACTGTGAATTGATGACATAGTCAATGGCTAATTGGGTAGAAAAACCCTAATAGGATAAGATAGCCCCAAAAGAAGTAAGTTCATAGTAAGCATTAACGTCTTCCTGTAGATTGAAGGAAGAATAAGGGCATAAAAATTCAGATGTGGTAGCATACAGCTAGAATACAAGTACTTATTACAGCTAGAATACGAGTACTTATTACAGCTAGAATACGAGTACTTATTACAGCTAGAATACGAGTACTTATTACAGCTAGAACACAAGTACTTATTACAGCTAGAATATGAGTACTTATTACAGCTAGAATACGAGTACTTATTACAGCTAGAATACGAGTACTTATTACAGCTAGAAAACGAGTACTTATTACAGCTAGAATACGAGTACTTATTACAGCTAGAACACAAGTACTTATTACAGCTAGAATATGAGTACTTATTACAGCTAGAATATGAGTACTTATTACAGCTAGAATACAAGTACTTATTACAGCTAGAATATGAGTACTTATTACAGCTAGAATATGAGTACTTATGAAGCTGAGGCCGGAGTATTGCTCCAAGTTTGTGGCCAATTAGAGCCTTATAATGAGAGTCTGTTTCAAAAACAAACTAAACAATCAATGAACCAAAGAAAGGATATAAGTATATAAACCAAATTAACTTGATTTATATACTTTCTATTTATTTTGTCAGAAAATTAGATAAGATTTTAACCATTACTTCAAAAGACTTTTCAAATAGACTTCCTGTAGAGTTCTCTTTTAAAAATTTAATACCATGGTTAATTTTTAAAAATTAATTTATTTTACATTCAGACTGAAACCTCCCTCCTCTCCTACTCCCCACCTCTCTTCTGTCCCCCCAGCTCCCCTCTCAATATATCTCCTCAGTATTCTCCAAGTGAGGGATGGGCATATCAAGTTGCCATAAGACAAGCACCTCCCCCTGTATTCAGGTTGGGAAAGGCAATCCAGCATAAGAAATATGTCCCCTAAGAACCAGCCAAAGCGCCAGGGACAGCCCCTGCTCTCATTGCTAGGAGTTCCACAAATAGACCAAATTTTTATGCAGACAGTCTAGGTTTAAAAAAAAATGACATCAGGAAAATTGAAGGCAAATGGATGAAACTAAAAAAAAAAAAAAATCCCGAGTGGGTTAACCCAGACTCAGAAAGACAAACAAGGTATCTACTCACTCATAAGTGGATATTAGCTATGAAAGATTGGCATGCTACCGTCTATAAACCCAGAGAGGCTAGGTAACAAGGTGGGCTCAAGGGAGGACTCATTCATCTCCCAGGGAAGGGGAAATAGAGGAGATCTGGATGGCGGGTGGGATCGGGTTGGGGTTGGGTAGAGAGGGCGAGTGCTGAGAGAGATGACTGGAAAGGGGGCTTGGTTCAGGTAGGAGCCTGATGCAAGGGAAAGGTCTCTACAAGTGTGGCCCCCACCAAGACTCCTGGCACCAGTGGATGCATAACCTGAACAGGCTATCCCCTGTGATCAGATTGTTCTACCCTGCTTGTGAGCTGACAGCCTTCATCCAGTGACTGATGCAGAGACACTTGACCAAATATAGGACTGAGCTGGAGAGGGAGAACTCCTGTTGATGACAGAAAGGAGGGATTGTAGGAACCAGGGGTCTCAGAGACATTAGAGGAGAACCCACAAAAAGGGCTAGTCTGGCTGGCTTGTGGGAACTCAGAGTCTGGACCAAAAACCAGGGAACTCTATGGGGCCATAGAGTAGTTCCTTTTATCTAAATTATCTCCAGTTTTGTAATTAAGAGGAGCCAGAACTTTTATTTCCATTCATGGGGAAACTCACCGTGGGATTAAATACCATTTGCACAGAAACATCTGGGTTTTGGCCATTTGCATCTATTTTGCCTGAGATGATTTTTTGACTGAAGTCTGATGTAGCAGTGAAAGCTTTGGATTGAAAAAGTTTGTTGTTTTGATACACTACAAAACCACATGGATTTTTGTCTGTGGAAAAAATAGATGTTATAATATCAAGAGGTGTACTTGGTGGTGAGCAAAAATAAAAGTTTCAAGTAATTTTGGAACTTCATGGTTGCTTTATGTTTGAGTAAGGTACGGTAACAAAATAGTTCACCAGCTGAGGTTTTACTTAATTGCAATATAGTATGGTAATATTATAGTATGCATACACACACACACACACACACACACACACACACATACACACACACAATTGCTATACACAGCTGATGGTTCAAAGGTTCAAAACTACTTGTACAATGAAAACCATGAGAACTAGAATGTCTCTTTTGGGACTAGCCATCAGGAGATTCCCTTGGCCTTTTAGGAAATTTTAAGATTCAATCTGAATAATTATCTTACTACATGTCCGCGAGGCTGGGATGCTTCAGAGAATTGAAGAGGAGTGTTAATAGAAAGGCTTGCTGAATTTTCCTATTTCGTTTATGAGCATTAGATCATATTCTTTGTCCAATCACATTTCACATGCTTGTCTATATTCCAATTATTTCTATGCAATTAAGTCTCCATGAAAACCCAAAAGGTGGAGTTCAGAGAGCTTTGGAATAGCAGAGCATTGGAGGTTCCTGGGTGTGGTACACTCCCAGAGAGGGTACAGGAAACTCTACAGTCCTTCATCCTGTGCTTACTTTCATATGTATACCTTTCAATAGTCATCATATCAAGAAATAAATGTGTCCACTTCAGTAATGTGAGTTGCTACAACAAACTAAGCCCTGGAATAAGGTTATGGGAACCCTAGTTTATAATTGGTCAATCATAAATGAGGACAAAACTCTCTGGGTCTTGTCATTGGCTGTGTAGGTAGGGGAGGAGTGATCATTTAAATACAGTACTTATGCATGGAGGTCTTGAAAAGAATTTAAATGTAAATAAAATGCAAAAGCAAAATACAGATGGATTTCTATTTTATTTTTTAAATAAAAATGGTATGCTTGAGATAAATCTGAACTCTAGATGAGCACATTGATTCTTTTATAAGAATTAAGAATTTCTGCTTGCTTCTCCCTCTCAGTGCTATAGTATTTTGAGCATCTATTACAAAATCATGAATTTTGCAACTACTTAGATTTAGTATAATAACTCATATTTGAATCTCATGTACTTTCACGTCTCCACATTTTTAGCCACTCCTTTTCCATGCTTCTTCATCCCCCTCTATCAGCTTTGGGAGATGTGTGTTTCATTGTTATTCATGGAATCCATGTTTCATTTTGTTGACCAAACCTAGCACTTGGCAATTTATAATTTAATTCACTCATAGCCTTACATTTATTCATTCTTACCCCTAGCTTTCTTTATTTTACTTTTATGCTTCTTCAGATGAATGTAAGAGTCTCACAGAAATACAGGTTTGTATGCCTGACACTATTATTTCAATCTGTTCCTCTCCAATGTGTTTTTGGAATACAGAGGGGCTCCCTGTGACCTAAAAATAGTAGAATTGAGATTACTGTAATATAGCTGAGCCTAAAGATACTCAAACAAATTAATAGATGCAAAACTAAACTACGATTATTCTTCCCTTCATGGATTTCTAGTCAGTAATTCCTTGAATTTGAGTATGTTTACAAAACAATGCAGCAAAGGTTCGAGACATACTTTCTCCGGTATTAAGCAAGATCTGAAGTTCAGTCTGTCCATCTGGATTGAGTCTGTCTGCAGTTTTATTAATAGATGTTCCGCCAGAAACTAAAGAATCACTTGATCCTAGAAGAAAGCGGAGAGTAGATTTTTAAATATCTGCATTTTGGTGAATCAGGAATTGTTTGTGATTGGCAATGGGCTGTTCTTTACTGTTACAAGGACATGGGGCCAACAGCTTACCTTTCTGTACAGAAAACAGAACACTTGACCCTGCATCATTGCCTCGAGTAACTGACTGGATTGCTATGTTAGGTTCCACGACTGTTTCATCGCCCAAAGAAAAGGAGTAAGACTCCATTTGCTCAATCAGCCTGTGTAGAATGAAACATAACAACTCAACATTTTGTCACACTCAGAGACGTTATAATCGTGCAGATTAACTATGGGCCTCAGAGTGGCTGGTCTGACAAGGAAGGCAGCAGTCAAACACATATGGCAGAAATAAACCACCTAGTTCTTTTATTTAGAAACTCTCTGGCCAGGGAGAAGGACCTATCAGGAAAATTCCAGTTTTAGGAGCAAAAAGTCAGGCCAGGCCAGTCTACATTTGTAAGGATGAATACAACTAGAGGCAAATTCTTCTGCTGAGATAAGGGAGGGCCCACATATTCTTCCCCTGAGGACTACAAAGTTGCCTTAGAGTTATAGCCATCTCCCTACTCCAGGGAGGATCAGCTTTATACATACTGGTTCTGTTATGATCCTATGCTTGGATTCCAGTGAGATTCAGTACATCTTTTTAAAATGAATTTCAGTTTGGTCAGAGAAGTGGTTTGAATAACTTCCACAGGCACCTGTATTTGAGTGTTTGGTACCCAGCTAGGGAAACTATTTTGGAAGTTTTAGGAGATGTGGCCTAGTAGGAAGAGGTGGGTACTGCGGGTGGGCTTTGAGGTTTCTAAATCCCAGGGCAGGCCCCATCTCTCTCTCTCTCTCTCTCTCTCTCTCTCTCTCTCTCTCTCTCTCTCCTCTCATTTCTGTTTCTATCTCTTTGTCACCCCTGCCATTCCTTGTCACTCTCTGCCAATTCCTGTCACGCTCTCTCTGCTACAAGCTGCAAGATCATGCAGTAATTACACAGCCGTCATATCATGAGATAACACAGAAGAATTAAGAATTCTTCCGATGAATTAAACCAATGCAAAAGTTATATTTGGCATTATAGTCTTATGAATGAATTGGCTGTTTCTTGCTATGGATTCTTCCCGTAGCTTATTCCTTTCTGCAGAATTACTTCCCACAGTTTAGCACTATCTGATTATTTACTGGGAACAAATTTCCCCATGCATTTGGAATTTATTGATTATACTTTCTAGCTATGTGTAAAACCTGTTTTCCATCAACAGGACCTAATTTGCTGACGACATTCCTTAGCTATGTTTCCCACTATCAGGTCCTTGTTCCCCCTCCTGTGTAATTACAGAGATCCGCCTTCCTGCATTATCCTTATTGAGAGGCATTTGGTCAGCGTTTAGGGCCTGGGCAAAAGCATTCCATTTAAGAAATTCGCAGCTATCCAAGGACATAGAATTACTACATGTCCAAAGCTGTTGATTCATAGCTGCCTAGATGGATAGAAAAAGTAAGCATGCCCTGGTTTTACCTCACTGGCAGACAGAGAAGCCATAACCTAAACTAACTCTGCACTGAAAGATTCTCAAACTTCTTGTTTTATTAACTCAAGAGCTTAGCTCGGAGAGTTACTGCTCCCTCCTGTTTCCCCTGAGAAGATAAAGGCAGAGATAATCAGCCCCTTTGCTCATCCTCAGGCAAAAGTCAATTTTCCTGAAGGCCTGTGCCACCACTGAGGCCAGAACACTAGAGGGCGCCAGGTTTTGTCCCTTGTGCAAATTAAACTTAGACCCTCTCTCTGACCTACAGCCCTAGACAATTGATGATAAAAGTTTCTCCTAGCACTTTTCATTTATTGCTCAGTGTGTAAATCTTATCTGCCTTGTTGACCCTGAGAAACTCAAGCCTCACATTGTATTGCAAAAATAATTACTGTTGTGCACATTTGCGCGTGTGCGTGCGTGCGTGCGTGCGTGCGTGCGTGCGTGCGTGCGTGCGTGCGTGCGTGTGTGTGTGTGTGTGTGTGTGTGAATACCAGTACCCCCAAGGGCTTCGGAGAAACATAGTGAGACAGAGAAACAGAGAGAAAAGAGAAGAAAAGAAGAAAGGAACACGCAGAGGAGCAATTGTGTGTGAATCAATTCCCTTTTCCCTCAGATTTTAGTTCCTCCACTTATTTGTAGAACTCTGAGCGAAAATTTTTAAAGCAAGGACTTTTCAATATCTTCTTCTCTGTCTCTGTGTCTCTGTCTGTCCCTCCCTCTCTGCCTCCATCTTGAGGGATAAAACGTAAGCTCTCAGCTACTGCTCCAGCATCATGCCTGCCTGCCTGCCTGCTGCTTGTACTCCCCACCATTATGGTCACGGACTAACCCTCTGCAACTGTCAATTCCCACTAAAAGCATTCTTTTATAAGTTGCCTTGCTTTTGGTGTTTCATCACAGCAGTAGAAACATTGACCTTCGATAGTAAGAACAAGGATCCAGGGTTATGGATCAGCCTTGGCAAGCAGTGCTTAAAAGGAGGAATGAAAGCCTATCCTTGTTGATTGTACCATATCACCCCCACCAGCAGAAACCCCATCCAGCGCCTCAGGGCTCTGGCTGCCTGTGCCCCTGCCAGTTTAGAGGAAGAGAAGGCACAAACAACTTCATGGGGTTGAAGCCGGGCTGGGCGGATTCTTTCTTCCCCATTAGTCTCCTGCCTTTTACTTCCGTGCTTCTTATTTTCACTTTCCCCCTAAATAAACAGATCAAAAGGGGAATTCAGTAGCCGAGGGACATAAAAGAAAACTATAAGAAACAGAAGAGAGAAGTAGAAGTAAGACGGGTAGCTGAGTCCTGGCTTCTGAAGAGAGAGACACTTACACGAGGCCTAGCACAAGAGATGGGAGTTTGTAGATCCAGGGTTGCCCTGCACAAATTTAATTTCCTTCCCTTGAAAGAGGGAGCATTAAGAGAGGTTGTCATTGGCAGCTCATCAAGAAACAGCTGCCTTTCAGTTTCTACAGGGGAATGGTTTCAGGGCCCTCTAGCACTGAAACCTGACAATACTTGCATAAAATGATGCCATGATTGCCTATAACCTATGCATTTATTTCTGTATGCTTAAATAATATCTGGATCATTTATGAAACCTAACAATATAAATTGTGTCCAAATTCTTGATCTAATGCATTGCTTAGGGATGAGAAGATGTTCAGCTCAGGGTCATTCTTTTTTTTTTTTTTTTTCTGAGTAATTTCAGGCCACAGTTGGTTGGCTTGTACATAGAGAAGTTGTAATTTCAGCACATAGTAGGTTGGATCATACATATAGAAGTTGGAATTTTAGTTCATAGTTAGTTGGGTTGTACATAGTGCATAGTTGGTTGGGTTGTACATATAGAAGTCATGACTGCAGAGGGCTTGATTCCCTGAGATCTGTGAAGCTACTGGAAGAAGTAAAAAATTGGGTAAGTGAATGAAAGAATGGTCAGAGTCCATGATGGTTTTGGCAAATATCACATGGTATAAGGAAATCTGACAGACTACAATCAGAAAATGGTGGACTAGAGACCTAGTGTGGGTTGAAAGACATGTGGAGACCAGTTGCACAGCTTTGTAGTTCAGTATAGCCTATATTTAGAGGTTTATTTCTCCTCTAACCGCCTTTGTTTGAAGCCCTTAGAATGTTATGCATAAATTATACAAAGTTATCTTTTTTCTCCATATATAAGCTAGTAAATTTATAATTGTTTCTTAGCAACATATTGCCCTCTGTGTCATAACCTATACAATTCTCAGTTAAGCCCTACTTCGTACCAAACAACGTCCTCCCCCACCCCCACACACATACAAGCAATGATCTCCCATAGATCTTTCTCTGACTAGTTGCAGAAGGTCTGGCTTTTGTTTCTATTTTCACTGAACATAGACTCTGGAGCTCATGACTGCTACTTTCCCTACTTTAGAGAAAAACATACCTGCAGCCCCACGTGAAGGAACCAACCTCCTCTTGGAATATGAAGTCAAGAAATATACATGACCTCTGCCCCATCTCTCAGATCTGTAAACTTTTAAGTGCTCAGTTTCACCCGTACCCATTTTCTACTTTGAGAGTACTACCCCAAGCACATGCTGGCTGTACTTAGTCAAAAACTCACAGTTACACTGAGGACTTTCCCTTAAAGATTTGAGGTCATACAGATAACCACTCTGATGAATGTAACAGCGAAAGGTTTGATATAATCTGAAGTCTACCACAGAGACTTGGTTGGGTAAAAGTTCACTCACTGTTAATGGTTAACTTTTAAAAAAGCGTTTATGTATGTGTGTGCACATGTGTAGAGTGTGCAGTTCATGTCATGTATGTGGAGGACCTGTGAGGAATCACCTAAACAGGGAAAGGCTCTCTGATAGAATGGGCAGCACCTTCCAGAGGTGGCCCACATAGGAAAACATTGGAAGGAAAGGCAATGCTGCCCGCTTGCCTTCTTCACCTTGCTGGCAGATGAGTCTACTTTGTTGTTGCTGCTGTCATTTTGTGTGGACATTGGAACCCAGCTCCTTGGCCTTTCAATTGAACTGAAGACCAGCAGTTCTCACGAATCCTTCAGGCCTTCAGCAGGACTACTGAGGCATCTAACCTTGCAGACGGAGCGCTACTGACTTCTCAGCGTCTGTAGTGTATACACCGCCATTGTCCCCCCAACCCATGCTGTGTAAGTCAACCCAATAATATGTGTTTGTAATACATATTCATCCTGCTAGTGTTGTTCCTCTAGTGAACCCTAATACACTCACATGATGCAATGACCTAAAATGGTTTAAGCTATTAAGTGATAATAGAGTAATATGTTATTTAATTATTTATATGCATGAGTGCATGAACAATATATCCTAGAGAAAATATGCTAGCAGATTAGTAAAGGTAAATAATTTGAAAGAATTTGCCCCAATGTATATTTTCTCATTTTTCTGAAATGAGCATACTTAAATGTAAAAGCAGCTTTAAAACAGTGTATTTTAGTGAGGCACCTCTGTGAAGAAATACGATTTTTGATATGAATATACAATAAATATACAATACAAAGGTAATCAGAAGCATAGCCTTAATAAAAGAAAGCACAGGAGGGGAATTGGAATTCGTTTTCTTTTTTGAAGTAGTTGCAGCAAAACTGGAAAAAGCATATTCATTCATTCTCGGGAAGAGAGCTGAGGTGTGGGCTGGGGGCTGACCAGGTGCCGTCCACTGTGGTCGGCTGCTTCTGCAGCACTGTGCACTGAGAAGGGCAGTTGGAGGAACACCTGTGTGTGGAGGTTGCTTGCTGCTTTGCCCACACCAGGTCCAGGCAAAGGGAACAAAGTGTAATCTGAATCACCCTTCTTTTTCTCCTAAGCCGTGACCACCCCTGGCAGTACACATCCCTCCATGTAGGAGTGAGATCACCTGGCAAGTCAAGGATTTTCTCTTAATGCCCAAAGCTTCGGGTAGTCATGGCCCCCCTGAGAGGACAGAGATCCTCTATTGTGCTTTAACCTAAAAAAGTAAACGGCACTTTTCAAACTTTGTTCCAAACTGTTGCTTACGTGGAAAAGGAGTTCTCCCTGTCAATCTCAGCAGCTCTTTGGAAAACATCTTCACTGGCATCCAGAATCTGACTCACTGTGGTTATAGCGACTCTTTTTGCCTGAGAGAGAGAAGGCACATCACAGAAGATAGGTGTCATGCTAATCATTAGTACCATCATGAAGAATGCTCATGGTAGGAAATAGCATGATTAGCATGATAATCCAAGGAAAATAATTTTTAAGTCAAAGTTTCAGTTTAGGGCCTATATGAAATAAAAGAAAGAGCCAAGATAAGAACTGAAACCATGAATGAAGCTGGTGAAGTAGGAGGTTTAGGATTTTGAATTTGACTTCGTGATAAGATCATTCACAGAGCCCCTTTCCACCCATAAGAAAAGAAGGAGTTCTTGGCTAAAAGTAGACACAAATATTGCTGCAGGCCTGCCTGTCCAAACATCATAGCTCACAATACTTAGCACAACTTACCAACTGCACTTACATAACTATCAGTAAAATTATCTTTAGTTTCTTATCATTGAAAACTTGGAAATGGATTAGAGATAGTGTCTTGGCATTTCATTCCTGTCTTTAATGACTAATTCTCTATAAACTTTATAACTAGAAGTGCATATTCTTTGAATTATGTCTTCCATTACCTTACTACTTAAAACCTATTTCTCAAAGGACCTTTGGTAATTAAAACAATTTTTGAAAGAAGACATTTAAATAATACAAAAGGAGCCATGCTGACTTACTTCATGTTGGTGGTTTACAATCACAATAAAACTCCTTTGTTGACAAATATTGAGCATATTTCTTGTTTTTATGTTTCAGAGTTTAGCATGCCATGATATTAGACATGGTATAAGACTCTTTAGGAAATCCAAATCCAACCTGGGAGTGGGCTTGGCACAAAGAGAGCAGAGCTTAAGGCATATTTCAGAGCAACTGTGTAGGAAAACTGTCTAATTGGGAAAGAACATGTCAGAGTCTAGTACAATTGTTAAACTGCACATCATAAAGCTAGAGACTTGTTCATCCAAAGACACATAAAAATATAAAAACAACCATCATGTCAATTCAGAGGATGACTAGGCAAGGAGCCCTTATTCAACTTCTTTGAGTATCTTCCAGAAAGCGTATTCTGTCTGCCCACTTGTCTTAACTTAAATACCCCCAAATCAAAGGTTAAGGAATAGAATTTGAGATGTCCCACCCCTTTCTAGAGTGTTAGGAATCGAACCCAAAGCCCTTCACATGCTCATAAAACGCCATCAATAGGCTACAATCCCAACCTTCGCTTCTATTTTAAAGTCTTGAGTTTTACCTGGAGTTCGGCCCCTCTGGTTTTATTGAAGATCTGTCCGACCACTCTAGTAGCAGAAGTAATGTTCTCAGCGGTTAATATACTGGCATTAGCTGTTAAAATCTGAGCTTCTGTAGAAATATTCTTAGATTCCGTCTTGATGTTTTCTATCTGTTTAAAGGTATATATTTTCAAAGATTCTATTTTACACAAGTATTCCTAAACATCTTGCAAATGACTGCCATTGAAAGAGCTGACATTTAGCTGAGCCTCAACCTCCTGAGTATCACACCCTCCTAAGTTTTCTTATTTACTTCCTTGTTTGTGTAAACAGCACAGTTCACAGAGTGCAGGGATTTCATTTTCCACTACCTGCTTGGATTATATCAATACTAACAAACTACTGTATTCATGTCACATGTATGGATGGAATGAACCTAGTTTTACACTAGATGGCACTATTATTTCAAAAATCAAACCAGTACTAACTTGCAAGGAGTTAAGACAAATTCTATCAGCAGACAGAAAACAAAACAACAGCTCAATCTCTGTCATGTGCTTGGCATTTCGTTTCATGTTCTAAGGTGCAATCACACATTGGGAAATGACTGTAAGCTGAAGTCCCTTGTAACACTTTAAGACTTAGAGCCAGTTAGCTCACCTCAAATTCACACAGCTTGGAAGTTGCAGAGTTGAGAGCCAAATGCTGGCTTGCTGGTTCCAGAATCTTACCTCTTTCTTTCAGTGTGTGTGATTGGCAGCTACCTGCATTATCCTATATCCCATTCCTAACCCCCACCCCCACTTCCCCAACCCCCAACCCCCACCTTCACATCTGTGATTACAGGGTTGCTGTGGTTCCCTGTGGATTTTAAATTCAGCAGTAGCTTTGTCACAGCTTGGCAATGGTCCCTGGCCAAAGCATTTCACTCCTCAGAGCTGTACTTTCCTCACGTATAATAATGTTTGTCTGTGGTGTTTAAAAATTAAACATGATTTTAGAAAATTTAGTAGTATACAGAAAATGGTACAGGCAAATACCCAATTAGCCAAAGGTTTTGTGTTTTGTTTTGTGTGTGTGTGTGCGTGTGTGTTACAATGATACAGATGTTGAATTTTTATTTTGATCTTTACCCATATGCTGAATATTTGCTTTTTTTTTTTCTTTTTGAGAAAGGGTTTCTCTGTGTAGCCCTGGCCGTCCAGGAACTCACTCTGAAGACCAGTCTGGTAAATATTTGCAAGTGTGCTGTAGTTTCTTGATTCTGAAAGACAGCAAGCCACAGCTTCCAGTAACCCAAAAGATGATGCAGTTACACAGATGACAACTTTAGAGTATGCTGAGTTGGGCAATCATAATGTTGAACAGATTATGTGAATTAAATATGTTTTAAACTTACAGTGGGCTTATCAAGTCTTAGCCCTCTCTTATGTCCAGGATCATCTGTATTTGATAGCAGTAAATGCTCACCAATTGATGCTAGGAGCTATAATTGCCTTTAGCATGGAAATGATATCCAATGTGATGAAGAAGATGTAACATGCCTTCACACAGAAGTACCTCCATCAAAGTGTGCTGTGTCTTCCTCTTCTGTAACAAGCTAGCACTTCCATGCATGCCCAGTTGCCTATATCCTTAGTCAATATAATTAATATGAATGGGAACATATTTATCCATAAATCCTTCTTATTTTACCAGCTCATGGATAGAGCCCTGAGACCAGCATCAATCTGGTTTTCCCATTCCTTTTGATGGAGTAGACTACTTTTGGTTTCTGAAGCCTGGGGTCTACGTTCAGTCAAAACTTGAGCAGTCTACTAAATAAGATCATTTAAAATATTTTCTAGGCTACCATTTGCTGAATTGTTCTGGAATAAAATGTAACATTAAACGAATGTTGACTTTAACCAAATACGAATGGTTTAGCTTTCCCTTCCTTCCTTCCTCCCTCCCTCCCTGCCTGCCTCCCTGCCTGTCTTCCTTCCTTCCTTCCTTCCTTCCTTCCTTCCTTCCTTCCTTCCTTCCTTCCTTCCTTTCTTTCTTCCTGCTTTTGGTTTTTCGAGACAGGATTTCTCTGTGTTGCTTTGGAGCCTATCCTGGAACTCTGTAGACCAGGCTGGCCTTGAACTCTCACCTGCCTCTACCTCCCCAGTGCTGGGATTAAAGGTGTGTGCCACCAACGCCTGGCTTGGTTTTTCTTGATTTACAAATTAAGAGTGTTAAAATCATTGATTTGACCATCAGGCATCCGAAGACCAAACAGGTTGGCTTAGACACAGACCGTCCCCCAGCTGCCCATCAGACGGACTAGAAGGTATACCTGTGTTTCCAGTGTCTGCAGATTTTCAGTGCAGCTTCCGATCGTTACATTTTGTAATTCTATCTCTCCATATTCATTAACACTGCACAGCCGAATTGCTTTAGGATTCCCGGCTTTAATAAAAAGGAAAAATGGAAACAGGTGTATAAGAACAAACAGCAATCACTGCTTGATCGCTGCGTACCCGCGTGACTCTGCTACTTCTCCCAGGATGAGCACCTGTTCAATCTTGAACCTGGGCCAACTGGTGATTGACCTTGACCAACAGAAGAAGTGGAAAGACATGACTCCCAGCACCTGGGCCTCAGAAATTCTCTCAGTTTCTGTCTCCACCCTTCTGGGATGTTGGAACGCTGCCCTGAGGCACCGTATGAGGAAGGGAGTCTAGCCACTGGAAAACAGGCCATGTGGTGCTGTCTTGAGTTGTTGTGTGTAACACTGAGCATGCATGTTCCCCCAAATGAACAATCTAGCTGTTACAACCAACCCAAATAGAGCTGTGAGAAACCTAAAGCATTGTTAGTTTAGGTCAAGAATTTGGGGTCGTTTTAATACCCAGTAATAGAAAAGTGAAACCATCTAGGCAAATTGGACTTTGTACAAGAATCAGTTACTATTTGCTTCCTTCTTGGTCTTCAAGAAAGATTTACTTCCTAACTCATAGGAATGAAGTGACTTTGAATTGGACACAATGAAGATATACTAGGCTGAGACTGGAACCAATATGGAAAATGCCTACTAGCTACTAAATATGTTGATCTTCTATCCCTATGCAAATCTGGGTCATACCTCAAAGACAAAGAATTGCTAGGAGTTTTATTGGCTCTCAATAAAGCAGTTTTTTTTTTTTGGGGGGGGGAGTAATTTTATTTTCTCAGATTGTCACCTGAACTTTCCATCTCACTGTCCACAAATAACTAATCATTATATAACATCTAAAGATAAAATCATAATTAGAAGGGTAGCTGATCACAGGTGAATTTTTTTTCTCAGTATCAGTATTGAAGCAGCTTTTTTGAGAAATGAAATATTTGATATCAGAATTGCTTTAATAACATTTAAAATAAAAGGTTGAAGTTTTCATTAATTTACATGATGACTCTACCTCTACTGCAAGACACAATGAAAAGTTTTAGCACATACAGGATTTATGTCTTTTAAGCAGCCATATATCAAGTGTGTCTCTTCCACTATTTACAGAAATATATCTTTACTCAAACATCATTGAAATACATTGTAATCACTTGTTATATAAAATAAAACAATTAAAAGCAATTTTTAACATAGAGCTAAAAGTGAATTTGTTAATATTTGAAATACATATCTTTAAAATGATATGACTCAGTGTGAAATTCAAAGGTTTATATAACAAACATTTTCATAGCAGTTGCTCAAAAATCAAATGCATGTCAAGTAAAAGATGATAATATGACTCTCTTATTCCTCCCAAGTTATTGTATCAAACATCTGGGATGACCTTCATGGATATATTACCAAAACTTTTCCCAATTCATAGCACACAGTTGTGTTTTGTAAGTTGCACCTGGTTTATAAAATATAAAAAATGTAAGGTATATACAATGCAGAAATTGAAGGCAGCAGTCATCCTATACATACTATACTGTAATTATATAGTATAGTATGGCTTTTAAAATATGCGTAGTAAAACCAAATCTACTGAAGCTCCCCTTTTGCTTTCTGAGATCTTTGTGCTGTCTTATTTTATGTCAACTTGACACAAGTTATACTCATCTGAGAAAAGAGAACTTCATTTGATAAAAATGCTCCTATATGATCTGGCTATATATAAGCAGGCTTGTATGATTAATTAGTGATTGATGGGAGAGGGTTTAGCCCATTGTGGGTGGTGCCATTCCTTGGTTGGTGGTCCTGGGTTCTATAAGAAAGCAGGTTGAGCAAGCCATGAGGAGAAGCCAGCAAGCAGCCTTCCCCCATGACCTCTGCACCCATCCCTGTGCCTCCAAGTTCCTGTCTTGCTTGAGTTCCTTCCCTCACTGCTTTTGATGATGCATTGTTATATGGAAATGTGAATGAAATAAACCCTTTCCTCCTCAGGCTGCTTTTGGTCATGGTGCTTCATTACAGCAATCGTCACCCTAAGTACGAGAAGGCTGGAAAAATCATATACTAAGAGTAGCATGGATTGTAGATAGTTGAGTAATCACTTAGAATAAGCAAGGAAGGAATATAGGAAAGAGAAATTCCTATAACATATTTAGAATTTCAGTGTAGTCTCTATGTGCACAAAAGTGAATATCTAAATGATATGAAATTCTCCTCACTTTTAATAAATGATTTAAAAGTGGCTACATTTTGAGGCATCCAGTTCTGTAAGAAATGGGGGACACCAGCAAAGTTAATAAGATGCAAATGGATGCAATCGAAGGACAGGTAAGACAATTAGATAAAAATTACATGACTAGTAGACTCTAATTATTAAGAAGGAGCTCTAAGGATGTATACTCAGAACATATTACCCAATGTGGTACTGATGTAAGTCATCAACATTCTGGCCCTTATCTGGAAACATGCTAGAAACAGAATTCCTTGATCCTAGGAATGCCTTGGTGCACACAGGGTTGTCATACTGATGAAAGTATCACTAAACTAAAAATGTGCCGAGACAAATAACCAAAACGACCAAGGAAATTAAGGAATGCTGACAAGGGACCTGCTCCATTCCATCTCATCTCTACTTGGAAAGACATAGTCTAAAGGGAGATACAGAAGGGACCTGTGATATGTATTGATTTAAAACAATGTAGACAAATGATGCAACTCCAAGAATAAGTATTCTCCTGAACAAATGCTATGGGCAGAGTAAGCATGAGGAAATTTTCTAATCAAATAAGGATAAGGAAGAGTTCACAAACAACTGATCCATGTTCAGGATTGTCAGGTATATAGAATCACAGAAAGTATGATTCTGTGCTGGTCTGTCCTAAACTTCACACACTGACATTAAAGTAAGCCATGCCTTCCTGCTGTCTTGTCCAGAGACCTAACAGCATATGGGAGAACAATAGGTATGAGCCACTCAAATGGTTCCTCTGCTTAAACAGAGATCCTGGGGAAATCACATACCATTTACAGTGCCCGAAGGACATTTTTCCAAAGACGGTCCATATCTTCCCACTGGGATTCTAGCAAAGGTATAACTCAGGTAGGTACTATTTTCACAGAAATTAGCTGTAAAGAAAACAATTTTTTCACATTACAGATTATATATTTTTGAAATTTAAAACTAGATAAAAGGTGAAGTTCAGAACCTTTGCAGTGCAATTTAAAGAAGATTCAGAGAGTCAATTGGCTGGTTCAGGAGTTTCTATACTTTCTCTCTGGTTAAGTGTCTTCTATTAGAATCAACATGCTAGATAACAGGTTTCAGACTCAGTGTACACTGTTAGAGAGAAGGTGTAAACACACGCTAGCAAGAATTATGTATTGATTAGTTAAAATCTAGAGAATTGATAAACACAATTTATGGTGGGAAAGAACTTTATGAGGATTTGGATCAAAGCAAAAAGGCCAAAATCATGGCGGCGGGGGAGGAGGTAGGTGCATGAGCTGAAAGGAATACAGACAGTCAACCAGAGGGGGTGGAGGGACTCTGTATTCCAAGCTGAGCATGAGAATGAAAAATGTTGGGAAGCACACCTTGATCCAGAAACACATGAACTGAGATTCTGACACACCATTTACTGAAGTCAAACCATAAAATTTAATAACTCAAGGGAAAAGAAAGGACTTAATTAATTAAACACATACTTAATATAAGAATATGCTTAGACAGGAAGACTTGTCCTGATTCAAAAAATTATATTAAAACTCTGACATTTGAAATAGAATCAAATGGCATGTAGCCCCTGGAAAGGGCCCACGGTAACCATATTGATAGTTGCCCTGCATTCAAGGCCGGAGCCAAAAGGAAGTTTATACATGTGAATTATAGAAAAATGTTGACATTTGGAAAAAAGGACAAAGTGTCTCAACCACTTTGCCTAAGAGGAAACAGGGTTTTGATTGTTGAAAAAAAAAACCTCATATTTTTAGCATTTACAATATCTTTTCGTATATTTATGTGTGTGCTTCTGTTTTGACAGTTTTATACAATTACATACTAAAATTTAGATTTGTTTTCATTCCCATTTCTCTCTTATACCCTCCATCCTCTAAAACCCCTTTCTCCAACAAGTCCTCCTCCTCTTATATTCAAGCCTTCATGTTGTGTTTGATCTGCTGAGTATTATTGGAGTTTCTTGCACAGGAGTGTTGAATGGCAGGTTATTTACTGGAGTAAGGGCAAATTTACCAGTGGCTACACCACTGAAGAAAACCATTCCTCCTCCCCTCGCGACGGTAAATTCACAGTAGTCCCTCAGGGAGCGGGTGGGATCTCCTAAGAGCATCTGCCACCCATAATGAAATGTGAAGGCACAAACGTTGCGCAGGTCTTGTGCCGATAACCCTAGCTACAGTGACTTCATGAGCACACATCTTAGTGCTGTTGTCATTATGCTAATTGTGTCTATAGTCTTTAACTAAAGCTTCCAGGATCCTTGCTGCCATTATTATTAACAAAAGGCTCACCTATACATCATCATAGGATCGGTTGAGTAACTTACCAATCGTACACCTCAGCCCTTTCCACTCTTCAGTACAAATACATCTGCCATTTTGCCAGGTTCCGCCATTCCTGCAGAACTGTATAGGGTTGCTCGACACAGAAGTGGATACCCCTGAAAAAATGGTAAATGACAGAATAGTATTAACCTCGTAATGTGAAACATTTTACAAACTTAAGAAGTCCCCCAGTCTTACAAATTCAAACACTTTAAAGTTGATCTCTTTTTTCTTTAAATCCGTTCTTTTTTTAAAAGTTCTGTAAAACTCCAATTTTCCTTCCCTCCCTCCCTCCCTCCCTCTTTTCCTCCTTCCCTTCCTTCTTCCCTCCCTCTCTCCCTCAAGTTTAAAGTCTTTCAACTGCAGGCTCCTTTACTATAAAAATAAATTGCTTTCTTCAAGAGGGAAGAATTCAAACAGTTTAAAAGTCAAGTCTCCTTAGAAAACCCCCTATCTCTTTGAAAATCTAGAGTCTCCCAACTGTGGGCTCCTACAGAATAAAAATAAGTTAAATACTTTCTCATTTCAAGAGGGATGAACCATGGCACAATCATAATCTAATCGAAGCAAAACCAAATTCCAGCTGTGGAAATAACTCTGCGTCCAATGTCTGGGATCCACTCATGTTCGGAGCTCCTCCCAAGCGCCACCCATAGTACGACACTTGCCTTGGGCTGCTACTATTCTTGATGGTTTTCCCCTGGTACGGGCCTCCAAAGTGCTGGGGTCTCTTGCTGCAGCCTCGTTGAACTTTTACCGGTAGCCTCTCATGGGCTCTCTTCAGCTTGTTAAGCCTTAACCTCTCTGCATAAGTCCTTCAGTCCTGGGCCATAATAGCCACTGAAGCTGCACCTTCACTAGTGGCCTCTGCGGGCCCCTCACAGTGCCGTATACAGACAATTCCGTTTGACTCACTTAAGTATTTGCGAAGGTGAAGTTTTCTGAGGTGTTTGCCTAGGATCCCACTTCTCTGCATTGGGGCACCTTTCTTTCTTTGTATATTGCAGAATTAGTAGTTTTTCTCTTGTTAATTATTGTGGTTAAATAAGGATCAGGATAAACAAATAGGCCAAATAGATGTTTATTCAGGGAGGAATAACTTACAACCTAGACAGATGAACACCAGGAAATTCCACCCGATGCTCTCCTGTCTGAGTCACACTGGCCAACAGTATAATATCAAATACAGAGTCTCTGTGCATTATTTGGGACCAGCGGCGGCAGGCGGAAAAACCGTACTCCTTACATTCTAAAAATGTATTTGCTTAAGTTCAATCATTTCAGATAATTCATTTACTTTCATTTCTTTGATATTTAATTCCATTAATTTTTAAAATAGTATCACCAAGCATACTTGTTCTAGAATTTGCTATTTCTTAATTTCTAACGCTTGAATGATTTCTGCATAATATGGTGGGAGTGTGTGTGCCTCTGTGTAAAGATAGATTTTATCCAAAGGTAGAGAATCTTCAGCAATCTATGGAGGAAAATGAAAGGATCTCAGAAAGGGCAGGAGTGGGACATGGGCAGGTGAGACAAGTATTGCAGAGAACTAAGCCAGACACGGTCTCAGCTCTGGCATAGGAGCAAAAAACGTAAGCTGCCTTCAGAAGGCAAGCTGGAGGGAAGTCTAGAATCCTGCCTTTACCACAAGCTCACAAGGCTATAATCCCAACAGGAGGATCAAGGTCAAGGTCATCCCAGCCTAGGTTAGCTACTCACCTGCATGGGACCCTGTCTCAAATTCACCTCCATAACAGAAAGCTAAGATGATAAGAAGTATTTTATGTCTCAGTGGCATAGAGAACAGAACTTCTCTAATCTATGTTTTATGGTTCATGTAACTCCTGAAGGCTTCAAGTGTCACAGTAGTGACCTGGGTCCAACTTCCACATTACATAGTCTAGTACCATGCCTTCTGTCCCCATAGATACGCCAAACCCATAGCCTCATCATTATGGTATCAACTCTTTACAGTGTTGCAGTGTCCTGGGATTCCCCTTTAAGACTGGATGCCTGTTGGTGTGAACATTTAGTTATGATTTATATACATTTAATAAGCATGGAGGAGCCATCTACCCATGCCTAGTCATTCTGCTTTTAATTACAAGTAATATATTGAATCAAGGTCATAACTTATCTCTAGATCTTAGAATATTGTTAATGAGTAGAAAGCTAACAAGTGTTTGCTAAATGACTTCTCTGTCATTTGAATTCCAGCTAAGGACATCCAGTTCAAGCTGGACTACCTACTTTCTGTTGTAATGGTATATTTAACTGTGTGCTCTACCCACTTCAAACTCTGAGCCTTTAACGTACCCAGAACACACAAAATGTTGCCTGAAGTAGTAGCAGCATCTTTAGGCTCTATCCTATCTATAAAAAATAAACTCAGAAGCAGGAAGTTTGTTCATATAACTATTTTTTACAGTTGTAGTCACAAAAAGGAGGCATTAGGAAAATAGATTTATTGTGAGGAAAAGAAAGGAAAAAAGAAAGAAAATGTACATAAATAAAACACCAAGTATATCTTCTGTTAAGATACAAGTTGTTCAACATTAACTACTTAGCTAATATTTTCAGTAAATATAATAATAAATGCTTTAATAAGCTGTCTTTTAATGAAGTAGCATAAATATTAAAACAAACTTTCTATATCTGTTCTTGGAACACTTTCTGTTCTTCTTTTCAGCTACTCAACTTAACTTAATGATTAAGCCTATTATAGAGTTTTGGTGTGATAACTTGAGTCTCAATGCAAAGGTTCAATGTGGGTCAATGGTATTCATTCAAGCTATAATTCGAGGAGTGGAAAAAAAAATGTGCTCAGTACTGAATGACATAAAACTTCATAAATTAGAAAATAGTTGCCATGTTGTACTGAGTGCTTAGAAGATACAATATATCATCTTAAGTCTTCAAATGGATTGACTCATTTAATTCTCAAAATAGTCCCATGAGGCGGAATTAGCATCATTCTTATAAGAGGGGGGAGAAACTGAAGCACAGAAATATTGGCTAATGTGCCAAATCACTCAATAAGCAGCCATGTTGAGATTTAAAGTAAGGCAGGCAGTCAGGCGCTAAGGGTCTTATCCTATTCAAAAATAGCCCTAGCCACAGAATTCTGGAATGATCTTTAATAGCATGTCACCAGAGTCTAACCCAGAGTGATGGACATATCCCCAAATATCTAATACCTGAACACTCATGAATAATCCACTAAGCCAAGGGTCCTAATTCTTAGTTTAAGACAACGACTTCTGAAATGGGATCAATAGACACCATCGATTCTCAAATTACCATAACCCTGATCATTGCCCCTCTCTCACCTGCACAACAAAACTCATCCCTCCAACAAGACTCCTTTCCTTTTCATAGTTAATTTCGTATTTAAAAAATATTTAGCCCATGGACATGTGAAGAAACAGGAAGGGGGAAGAAGGAAGAGGAGTCACATCAACATACTTTATTCATAAAACACTTCTCTGACCTTTTTTTTTTAAACACTAAAATGATTCCAGTGTTCCAGGATCTGTTATAGGAGTTAGATTTATTACTGTGTAAATTTATCCCGTAGGAAGTACTAAACTGAGTAAAAGTAAAGAAAGACAAATATTGGTGGGCAGATTGCTTTCTGGGCAGCAAAACACTCACCTTAACTTTTCCTGATAACATTCATTTTCTACTGAGTGAGAATTATGAGTGTCATAAAGCCTGGCCTTGGGTTTGGGACTATATAAACCTTCTGAAGCACTTACTAGGTCAAGGACAAAGTCTGTCCTAGAGTGGGGAAGGAAGGTTATGGCTGATGTAGAAGGAACAGAAAGCAGGGAATTCTTAGAGCCAGAACTGAAGAATGCAGTTTCATAAGGCATCGCCATTGTGTATGAAAGTTGAGATGCCCTCTCATTGATACAAATCAAAGAAAGCATCCTCTCAACATTGCATTGTGAGCATCTGTGTATGTTTATATTAGGATTAACTTAAGCTGATAAAAGTCAACGGAAAGGATTGCAATGAAATCCACATTTATATTTAGCTTTCATTATGAAGAGTGATGGGACTCAAAGCCTTGTTGCTTTTTCCATTGCAAGCCTCTTGCTGTTAGAAGCACTAAACCAACAGATATAGATCTCACACACATCCTTTGTGAAAAGACATTAAACATTTCTAAAGAACACTCAATATGAAAGGGCTGGGATTCTGGAAGCACGCTGATTTCTTCCGATATAAATGCATCCTGAAAGATTATTTGTCATATGGGTAAACAGAGGCTATAGGTAATTGGACATATCTTAATGAAGCCTAGGGTCCAATGGTCATATGCCACATGGCTTCAAGCAGCAGCAGGAGACAGAAATATCTATCTTTAAACATCCAAACTTTCATTTCTCTTACTATTTTGAAGGAAAACATGAGGAATTGGCAGTTTATTTTTGTGTCATTTCTGAACACAACTATTTAAAAATTCTTTGTCCATGCTATGAACTGTATACATCCATCAAAATTCATGTGTTGAATTCATATCACAAGGATATTTGCTCGGCTATGTTCATAGCAGAATTATTTGTAATAACCTGAACCTGAAAACAACTGAAAAATGGATACAGAAAATGTGGTACATATACACAATGGAGTACTACTCAGCATTAAAAAAAAATGACATCATGAAATTTCTAAGTGAATGGATGGAACTAGGAAAAAACCATCCTTAGTGAGGTAACCCAGGCACAGAAAGATAAATGTGGTATGTGCTCACTCATAAGTGGATATTAGACATAAGGCAAAGAATAACCAGCCTACAATTGACAATCCCATGTATATACATACATACATACATACATACATACATATATATATATATATATATATGTCCCCTCGAAAGGGACAAGATCTCCTGAATAAATTGGGAATGTGGGGGAGGGGATGTCAGAAGAGGAGTGGGAAGGGGAAAAGGGGAGCAAGAGGAGAACATGAGGGATCAGGAAGGTCAAGTTGGGGGAATAACAGAGGAATGCAAGGAAAGAGATACCTTGATAGAGGGAGCCATTATGGTGTTAGCAAGAAACCCGGCACTAGGAAAATTCCCAGGAATCCATAAGGATGACTCCAG